CAGACACATCCACAGACCGACAGGAATGTCGCTGCTCCCAGGAGAAGACACCCAGCCAGCTGCTGTGACCAGCTCTCCCTCGGAGGCAGCCGAGTTCCTCATGTTCCATGCTAACCTCTGAGCCACCCTGACTGTCAATCCCTTCCTGTTCTGACAACTCGCGCCTCGGAACAAAATTTCCTCCCAAAGTGCGAGTTCCTTTGGGTGCCTCACGATGTCGGAGCCAACGCCAATGGGAAGAGAGGCCTCTCAGCCAGCAGCCGCCTGCCCCCACCAGAAGGGTAGACCTGCCCAGTGCCAGTGACCCATTGGAACCCCAGTGGAGACGCCAGCCTGGAAATCACCAAGCACAAAGAGGCACGCTCCCTGAGCGAGTGAGCGCGGGGGCACACTAACGCCCACAGCAGGAGTCCTGTTGGGTTTCTCTTCAAGCTACACGTCCACAGCAAAGCACCTGGGCAACACTGACCGGTGAGAAGGAATGCAACTGCCACTCGACCCAGGCTAGCTAGTCAGTCCAAGAAAAACCTGGAGCATCCTGAATGGCTCTCTGCTCCTTTTTCATCTCTCCCTTGTGCAGTGGGCAATGCCTTCAGCTGCTCACTGAGAAGGTTGGGCTCAAACCCACTAGCTGCACCATGTGAGAAAGATGTGGCAGTCGGCTTCCATAAGGATTTCCAAAAAGAACCAAATTCACTGCCTGGCCCACTGCCCCAACTGATATTGATCAAATTGTGCAGAAACCAAACCAAACTCACAGCCATCGAGTTGATTCTTACTCATAATGAGCCTAACGGGACAGCATAGATCTGCCCCAGTGGGTTGCAAGACAGTAACTCTTTATGGGAGCAGAGAGCCTCATCTGTCTCCTGAGGAGCAACTGGTGATTTCAAACTCCTGATGTTATGGTTAGCAATCCAGCATAACTACTACACCACCAGGGTCCCTCGGGTGGGAACAGGTGATCCAAACGTGCTCAAAGCAAGGGCAGTACCTGAGCAAACCAACTGCACCCCAAACTGGCCCTCGACAACAGGCCTTAATGTCAGCTGACAGGCCATACCTGAAAAGGAACCTACGTTGTTCGGGTTTTTACCCCCCAGTATTAGACAGCTGTTGGCAGAGTCTAAAATATTAAGTGCCTCAGCCCAGCATCAGTGGTCCTGGCAGAAGGCTGACAAAATTTTTTCTTAAATGCCACCTAGTAGTAAAAAAGTAAATAGAGCCCTGGTGGCACAGTGGTTCAAAGCTTGGCTGCTAACTGCAAGGCTGGTTTGAACCCCCAGCTGTGCTGCAGGAAGAACGTCCTGGTGATCTGCTCCTGTGGTGCAAGTTCTGCTGTCATACAGGGTTGTTGTGCCCTGGTGCTGTAGCCAGTTACTCACTGGACTGCTAACCTCAAGGTCGGCAGTTCAAAACCACCAACCTGCTCCTTGGGGGAAAGACAAGGCTCTCTACTCCACAAAGAGTTAACAGTTTCAGAAACCCACAGGGCAGTTCTACAAAGAGTTTTTGTTTTGTTTTTTTGTAGTCCAAACTGGCTTCATGAGACCCCACAACTTCAGTTTTGTTGAACTAGTTAGAAAAAAAGTCTGCCTTGGGCATTTAAGAATGAACTATACGGGATCAAACAGACTCAAAGGATTACCCAGGACTCTTAAGGGGCAGCGAGCCTGTGTTTCTGAGGAAGGAGACGGGAACAAGGTGGGTGGGCATGGTTGAACTACTTGAAGGATGTCAGTCAGTACATTACACATACAGAAACGATTGGATTAGTAAGTTGTGCTGTATTTTGCTCAACGGCACCAAAATAAGTAAAATGTCAAGGGCAAAGAAAAGGGATCATGGGTTTCCACTCTGTCACGTGGAATCAACGCCACAGCCCCTGGCACCAGAAACTTCCTTTCACCCTCCAGGGTGCCAGCATCCTCGACTCCATGGAGCTCCTGCAGGGGCACCTTTAACCCCACTATCAGCAGAGGCGCCAGGAGGCAGTGTACACGGAAGTTAGCTGCCAACAGACCCGAGATAGAAGGCTAATTAAATCAACTTTACCTATCTAAACTAAGCCACACGAGTAAACAGGGCCCGTGCTACTATTTCTATCGATCAGCCGCTGACTGAAGGATCCACTACACAGATGGGAGTAGGGAAGTCCTGGGGCTGCTCTAGGGCTGAGCACTGCCACTGAGGTTTTCAAAATGCGCCCAAGGTAGCAAAGCATCTAAAATCGAATTTTAAAAAGGACCAGTTACTTATAATTTCTTCTCCCTTTCCCGACCTCCCATCCAGGACTCTGACATTTCATTTCTGAATCCACTGGGTGGGGAGAGAGACCTCAAAAAGCTCATGTGGAAACTACATTCCCTTCTAATTCCATTTTTTTCACAAACTTTTTGAAGCCCTTTCATACAATGCACAGATGTTGAAAGGATTGTTTGGTTTATCAAAGTTACATAATTTGAGGTTTTAAAAAAAAACAATGAATGAGAGAGAAGAAATACACTTTTTTTGGGGGGGTGTGTGCTAGGGAAACATTTAATCCATAAATGGAAAGTAAAATTACCCATAAACTGACACACACACACAAAGTCATTTCAAAATATTCAGTGGCTCGATGATTTCTAAACACACTTAATGATTACACTTGCCTTTCGTTTTTGAAATTCAAATAAAGCAAAGTCCAGCTTATGAAACGGACGCCGCTCTACCTCGGCCTGACACACCTGATCTGATGCCATTCCCATGGGATTCCCATGCTCCAGGACCAGGCCCCCCTCTCTCGGGTCCCAGAGATGCTGAAAGGTCACCGGGGGTTCCAGCCCCATTCCCACACCACAGCTACCTTCCAACTGGACTCAGGGGCCAGCACCACCCTCCTGGGCAGAAAGACAGCTGACAACAGTCTTTCCAGAACCTTGGATACTTGTCAAAACAACATTTGAAACTTCCTGCATCAAGGGGAATGACTGCTTCGGGGGACCTCATAATCCTCACTAGAAAAGGGAACGTGGAATGCTAACTCAAGGAGAGAAGAAATCAAGAGCCAGATCACACAGAAATCAAGAGCCTGGGGAACTCCCATCACCAGCACAAGGAAGCAAAGAGAGATTCCGCACAGGATTCAACTGTAGGCCGGCCAGCCGGGCCAGCCCCAGCTCCATCCAAGTCCCTGATTTAACTGCTCCTTCTCCTGAGGGGGTCCTATCCTGAGACTTTTAATTGTGCCCTTACTGCCTTGTCTGGGCACCACACAACACAATCCAGCTTGGCAAGTCTCAGCAGGTAAAAATCAAGGTGACTTTCTCTAGACTTTAAAAACAGATGCGCCCCTTGCACCCCTTGGGGAAGCTGCAGTCCAATGTGAAGATTTTTAAGAAACGGAGGCATTAGAGCCCCCCACCTAATTCACAATGCAAAAGAGTTAAAAATACAACTTAAAATTTTAGAATAAAATAACAATTTAAAAATATAATTTCTTTTAAAAAGAAAAAGGAGGCATGAGAATTGTAGCTGATTATTTCCATTCCTATTATTTATCCAGCCCTTCCCAGACACGGGTCAAAATGAGAAAGGTAAGAAAGTGATAAGCCGCAGCCCAGTGAGGACATCCAGAAGAGCAGGTAGGTGCTTCAGACCAGGGACCCAGATCATGCCTGAGGGGTTGGAGGGGCCAGATATAAACCTGAGTCTAAGGGAGTGGGGTGGGGGTGGCCTGAGAAGTTCAATGCTGACCTCTAAGTGTTGAGATAAACCCCATGAACCCTAAAGTACCATGTAACAGGACAGCTGAAGCTGCACACAGGTTAACAGCTAAAGTAGTGGTTCACAACCTGTGGGTTTCGACTCCTTTGGGGGTTGAGTGACCCTTTCACAGGGGTGGCCCGATTCATAACAGTAGCAAAATGACAGTGATGAAGTAGCAATGAAAATAATTTTATGGTTAGGGGGGGGTCACCACAACACAAGGAACTGTATGAAAGGGCCGAGACATTAGGAAGGTTGAGAACCACTGGCAAAAGGCAGTGGGCACTTGGAGGTTTAGAATCCACCTCAATCTCCAAGCGCTACACGGCAGAGCTGGTTTCCTCCTCTCAAGCTGAACAATTGGTGCCTTTGGGCTATGGGGCTGGCGACGAATATTGACCAGACCACGTGCTTCCAGAAGAACGCACACATCTGTCTTGGCAGCATGCTCCCTAGGAGCAAGGACGGCAAGATTTCGCCTCGTTGACTTTGGGCATGTGTTCAGGAGAGACCAGTCCCTGGAGAAGCACATTGTGCTTGGTACACTGGAGAGGCTCAGCAAAAAGACCTTCCGTGAGATGGGCTGAGACAGTGGCTGTACCCTTGAGCTCAGCTAAAGCAACGACTGTGAGGTTGGCGCAGGGCCGGCAGTGTGTCATTCTGTAGTGCACAGGTCGCTGCCGGTGGAACTGACTCACTGGCTCCTAACAACAACAACAGTTTAACAATAAAGAAAATGAGAACTAGAGGGGGAAAGGTGTCATCATCATTTTCTTTCTTTCTTTTTTGCTAAAAAGCAGAGGGAAATGCCTGGGATGGGGAGAACAGTGGAGGGGACACAAGCATAAGCAAGGAGCTTTTCGGGCCATTTTGTTGGTGCCCTGGCATTCCGGCAAAGGCCAGGATTCAGAAATGCACTGCAGAAATGCTAAGCTAGTTAATGCAAGTTGAGAGGCATCTTCAAAGTTAGCCGTCCTTCTAGAGGGCCCCATGAGGTCGGCCCTGCTCACAGGGTCACTTTCTGCAGTGTGGCAAGAGCTGGGATATCTGATTCCCCAGGAGAGAAAACAGACAAACTTGCACTCCACACCTCCCCCCATCCTCCCTTGGAAGGCAGCTCAAAACAAGTGACCTGCCTTCTGGCACCCGCCTCTCGAAAGAGACCTGTGTTTCTCTGACCTCTCCCACCCTTTTCTCCAAACATTAAAGGTTGGTGGGGAGGGAAATACACTAAGCCCAGGCACAACACTTACCTTTCAATTGGTCGGCCACCACACTGGGGCCCAGGCGTTCAAACACCTTCCCATCTTCCATCTTGTAGCGGTCGTCCAAGTACTTGGCCGTGGCCTCGGAGATGTGGACCTTGCCAGCCACGCCCAGCTGCTCCATGAGGTTGGCCAAGTTCACATCGTTGGACCACACGTCGAACTTGAACCTCCGCATGCCCAGGATGCCGCACAGGACGGTGCCGGTGTGCACGCCGACGCGCATGTTCACCATCTCCTTCTTCTCCTGGCAGAACTGCTCGATGGCCTTGATCATGCCCAGGCCCATCTCGATGCAGCAGTAGGCATGGTCGGGGCGCGGCTCGGGACAGCCCGCCACGCAGTAATAACAGTCGCCCAGCGTGCTGATCTTCTCGCATTTGGTTTCCTCGCACAGGCGGTCGAAGCGGCCGAAGAGGTCGTTCAGGAGGCCCACCAGGGCGTGGGCTGACTTGTTGGCGCTCATCTTGGTGAAGCCCACGATGTCGGCGAACAGAATGCTGACCTCTTCGATCTGCTGCATCTTGAATGGCCGGAAGGCGATGGGCCCCTTCTGGATGGACGCCTTCTTCTTCCGATTCTTGGGGCTCGAAGTGGCGTGCCTCTTGACCGAGCTCTCGCTCTCGTCGTCGCCCTGTCTCATGAGGTCGTCGGCGATGATCTGGGGCATCACCGAGTGGATCATCCGCTCCTTGAGGGCTTTCTCCACTTCCAGGTCCTTCCCGTGCATGATGGACTGGCCCACCTTGAGGAAGGTGCTCCGGGACCTCACCTGGGACATGATGAACAGGTGGACCCCGATGGCGTGGATGCAGAGGTGCAGCAGCGCCCGGCTCAGCAGCTCCCAGGGCAGGGCCCGGGGCGCCAGCGGTGGGAAGCAGTCGGCCTCTCGGAAATAGTGACCGAAGGTCTCAAAGAGGACGGAGTAGGCCACGCCCAGGAAGAGGCTTAAATACAAAGGCAAGTGCATAACGGTGTAGAGCAAAAAGAGGACTTCGATGCACATGGAGAAGCTGCCCACCTGGGACAGGCAGGTGACCGGGGAGCCGGCGGCGGCCCGCGTGTGATTGGAGCTGTCCGCCGGTCCC